GGCCGCCATTACTGCATTTGTTACACAGTACTGCAGCTGGGTTCGTTATTCCTGTCTCCCACAAGAAGTGCGTTTCTGGGGCAGCTGTGTGACTTAGTCTTCATAGAGCCTGCCACAGAAGAGGTGCGTGCTCGGCCGGGGCTTACAGAACAAACTGAGAATGATTTATTGTTGGTAATGATGTTATTTTAGGGGAGGTAGGTAGGTCTGTCAATCTTCCCTTCTCTCTGACTCTCTCAACTCCACGGTCATTCCAACTTGATTTTCTGCAAGACCCTAGGACCACAGTGTCCTGTCCCCTTTGATTTGTTTTGTTCTATAAGAAGTCAGTGTGTCCCCACAGAGCTCCACACAATCCCAGTGGCTGGGAAGTGATGGGAATGAAATGGAGAGTCTTTTTTTGTACCCCCGGGAGGCGGAGGCAGCCCGCCATTACTGCATTTGTTACACAGTACTGCAGCTGGGTTCGTTATTCCTGTCTCCCACAAGAAGTGCGTTTCTGGGGCAGCTGTGTGACTTAGTCTTCATAGAGCCTGCCACAGAAGAGGTGCGTGCTCGGCCGGGGCTTACAGAACAAACTGAGAATGATTTATTGTTGGTAATGATGTTATTTTAGGGGAGGTAGGTAGGTCTGTCAATCTTCCCTTCTCTCTGACTCTCTCAACTCCACGGTCATTCCAACTTGATTTTCTGCAAGACCCTAGGACCACAGTGTCCTGTCCCCTTTGATTTGTTTTGTTCTATAAGAAGTCAGTGTGTCCCCACAGAGCTCCACACAATCCCAGTGGCTGGGAAGTGATGGGAATGAAATGGAGAGTCTTTTTTCAGCCGACTGCCATGGCTGCTTCTGAATAAAACACAGCAGTGTGGGAGGCTCCGGGGCCTCTGCTACAAGGGAAGCTCATGGACTAAGCCTGGGTGTAGAGTGGCCACACTTCTTCAGAATCTCCATAAAATTCTCTTCTACGTAAGCAAAGGTACTCTCCGCTCACAGACACCTGGCTCTCAAGACATTGTTTGGACAAGCATAGAAGACTCTGGTGAAACCAAGAGGCAGGGACATGGGTGATGGTCCTAGAGACTTCTGAACGAACTCTAAGCCAATCACTGGAAAACTGCCAGGTTGTAGGTGGAGTAATGGCCCAGGGCCCAAAGGGCCAGTAAGCCTACCTCCAGCATTCTGTAGAGATGATGACCAAAGGCAATATGGAGACCAAGGGCACTGTCAGAAGGAGTGAAACCATCTGGGGGTCCCTAAAGTGGGGGGAAGGAGGACAGATGGGCCCTTCCCCTGTGCCTGTACTCTGCCTCCGAGTGCAGATGGGCTAACAAGTCTACTGATGCCCACCTGCTCAGTGCCCTGTCAGAGGCTGGGGAATGGTGGTGGATGATGACATAGCCATTAAACCATCTGCTGGTCCCTATTTATTTATTTTAAAAATATTTAATTAATTAACTAACTAACCAGAGAGAGAGAGAGAGAGAGAGAGAGAGAGAAAGGAAGCCTCAGGTCCAGGACTTGAACCATGGTTGGTTATGTGGGAGCCCAGCACCCTTAACCACCATGCAACCTGCCAGTCCCTAAGCCAGCTATTTATAATGTGCTCCAAAGTCCCTTCCAGTGGCTTTTGCTTGGTCCAGTATTTAGTAAAGAGGAGAAGGGTGTACTTGGTTCTAAGACACTGTCAGAATCTGAGTGACTTAAATTTCCTGTTTGGTCAATAGATAATTTTGCCCAAGGGGAAAAATGTCTCTCTAAAACTTTATTTAGGTTCATGTGAACAACACATAGAACATCCTCTATGAGGAGAATACTTCGAGACACCAGGGGAAAGGTGAAGTGGGTAGTGTGCTTAGTAATACTTAAGAGGTGGACGGGCGTGTGGGTGTCTGCTGACCTCACGCCGAGTTCAGAGCGTGGCACACGGTTGGTGCAGAAGGCCACAGGCTTTTCTCCTGCCAGTTCAGCCAAGCCCAGAGATGGGGCACAGCACAGAACAGAAATGCAGTGTTGTTGAGGACATACAGGACTGAGCAGGAAGCTCAGCAGAGGTGACCTGCTCTACGTTCAACATTCACACGAAGCTACTTTTCAGCTCGCCTGAAACTACCAGCAGCACATAGAGCCTACGCGCTCCCATCCCTGGGCAGCATGCTCACACGATGGCATCGCTGCCCTGATTGTCAAGCCTACAGATAGACTGTCCCTCTGTCTGGCTGAATGTCCCTTGCATGCCCAGGAAGAGCAAGGCTTCCATGCCCCTCTCGACATTGCATGCACCCTCTGGCTTGGTGACTTACCAGAGCTTCGGTCCCCAGTCCTCTCAGGAGCAACCCGAGAGACACTACCCTTCTCTCTCGCACCCCAGGAGGGTGAGACATGAGTGGCTCCCGGAGCACTCTGATAGGAGGACACACGCTGGACGTGTGAGCCATTCCTTAGCAGTCAAAAAACTGCATTGCTGGGAATCAGCAGTTAGCGTAATGGCTATGTCGCTGGACTCCCACGTAGTCAACCACGGTTCGCATCCTGGACCCGGTGGCTTAAAACTCACGCCGGGCGCGTGTGCGTGAGTGCCCAAGATCCCTAGAGGAGAAGGGATTGTGGCGTGACCATCCCCCCTGGGGGGTGATTTCTCACTTTCTGTCTCTCTGTCTCTCTCTGTTTGTCTGGCGAGCGCACGCGCCCTATAGCAAAAACCTCTCCAAAATAAATAAATAAATAAATAGATAGATAGATAGATAGATAGATAAATAAATAAATAAATTGCTGAGCAAAGGATTCCTGGCCACGACGGTGTCAACCCGAGACTTCTCCTAAACTCTCTTAGGAAGAGTAAATGACTGTGTTTTAGAACGTGGGTTTTTTGTTCCAGTGTACACACACTCAACGAGCACATATAATATACCAAGCCCTTGGCCTAGAGGCACCGCAATAGGCAGACAGAAATCCCTGTCCCTACGTGGTGGGGGACAGGGAAGAGGCACATCACCTAGTCAGGTCAGACAGCATGCGGGAGGCCAGCTGCCAGTGAGGGTGATGGTGGAGGAGGAGCGAGAGAGGGGGATGAGGAGTACGGGACAGAGGCTGGTCAGGGAGGGTCTCCCTACAAGGCGGCATGCGGGCAAGCACCGGAGGGAGGCGAGGGAGGAGGGCCCTGGCTATCTGGGGAAGGGTGTTCTAGGAGGCAGGAAGACAGGGCTGCGAAATCCTGCAGATGGGAGTTCGGGAGTGCTCCAGGATGGGAGGAGGCAGTGGCTGGAGTAGGAGAAGAAGATGAGGTCAGAGGGTGACAAGTGACAGATCATGAGGCCAGAGGAACTGCTGGGAGAATTCGGGAGGCACATGCCTTGGGAGGGTCTTTGGCAGGGGGGAGTTGTTGCTCTGACCCTTTGGGAGGGTCACTCTGCTGCTAGGGCACGATCAGACGATAGCAGGGCCAGGGAGAAGCAGGGACACCACTGAGCAGGTAATAACCCAGCTGACGGGCATAAAAACTGGCACCGGAGACCAGCAGATGGAGTAATAGTTATGTCGTTAGACTCTCACGTAGTTCACTGCAGTTCAAGTCCCAGACCAGGTAGCTTAAAACTCATGGCGGACACGTGTGTGTGTGTGTGTGTGTGTGTGTGTGTGTGTGTGCATGCCCAAGATCCCGAGAAGAGAATGGAGGCGAAGGGACTACAGCATGGGCAACCCCCTGGGGGTGATTTCTTGCTTTCTGTCTGTCTCTCTGGCAAGTGCATGTGCCCTATAGCAAAAATCTCTTTCTTTTGCTATAGGGCACATGCGCTCGCCAGAAAGAGAGAGAGACAGAAAATGAGAAATCACCCCCCAGGGGGGATGGCCAGGCCACAATCCCTTCTCCTCCATTCTCCTCTCAGGATCTTGGGTACACACGCACATATGCCCGGTGTGAGTTTAAGCCACCGGATCCAGGACTCGAACTGCAGTCTACTACATAGGAGTCCAGAGACATAGCCATTACGCCAACTGCTGGTCCCGCAAAAATCTCTCTTAAAAAAAATAAATAAGTGGGTAACGTTGTGGATTTGCAGTGAAGGGGGAGACGTTCAGTGTGTTGGTGGACTGGATATGAAGTGTAGGAAGAAAAGCATCACAGATAACTTCAGATTTTCAAGCCGAACAACTGAAGAATGGAAGTGCCCTTTGCTGAGATGGGGAAGGCTGTAGAACAGCAGGTTTGGAAGGGTTCTGTCGGAGTTCAGTTTGGGGTAAGACTGAGACACCTGTTAGGTATCCAGGTAGAGATGGCCTCAAGGTATTGCCTTTCAAATCTGAATTCCATGGTTAAGGGCTGGGCTGGAGAGAAACACTAATACCGTCAGCACAGACTGAATTCAAAGCCATGAGTCACAGGGAGATCTCAGAGAGTGGAATAGAGGAGATCCCGGGCCCTCTAGACAGGGCACAGATCGAGGAAAAGTCGGAGGAAAGGTGAAACTGGGAGAACGCAACGTCCAGGAAGCAAGGGAGACTGTTTCAAGGAGGTGGGCGGAAATGATCACACCAGTTACCAAGCTTCCCTTGAGACAAAATCACCTAAGTTAACTCCAGCTGCGTTTTCTGCATCGAAACGAATTTCAACCTGTATTTGTATCTGTGGCTGAGTCCTTCACCAGACAAGCGTCAGGGGCCCTCTGAGAGTCTTCCTGCATGCTGCAGACCCTCTCCTTGGTGAAATGCATCCAGACACACGCAAGATGGAGACAGTTACTGGGGGTTTCAGAACCACAAAGTCCTTCTAAGCAGTTGGATTCATAACCAACCCTTCCCCTCCCCAAAAAGGTCTTCTTAAGGCATTAACCAAACTGTCTCAATGTAGAAATCCAGATACTGCAGGTCTCCTGGCTTCTCCAGTTATGTTTCCAAAGGGTAGAACAAGTTATATTTTCCGAGTCATTGGGGTTGAGCGGGAAACCAAACTCTAATGGCTGGCTCAAGCTGAAAGCAACAGTGTGAATGACGGAGAACTCACCACCATCTCCTGGACATGAAACATCTCTGCACCACCAGGCGACAGTCGACTGGGGAACGAGACGCTGACGGATGACCCAGGAAGGGTACTCGGGCCAGTGTTATAGACCTGTGGGTGTGCAAGACAGACAGGAAGTATTAATGGAAAATAACAGATCTTCATTTCACGTCAGGCAATATATACTCTAAGGCTCTTTGAAATCATATATAGGAACTCTAGGGATAGGGTCTAGGAGGTCATCAGGTGTAGTGAAGAGAAACGTTCAATGGTAGCAAATTGTAATGAACTAGAAATCCCTTTATCTGCATTTTAAACCCCCAAACTTTTAGTCCACTGAGTGGACCCAGTGGCTTGAAAAACGTGCCAGGCACGTGTGTGTATGTGTGTATGCTCAAAATACCAAGAAAAGAATGGAGGAGAAGGGACTGCATCATGGTCAACCCTTCTGGGGGTTCTTGTGCTTTCTCTCTCCAGTCAATCGCCCTGGAGCAATTTTTTTTTATTTTTTGGAGAAATTTTTCCTACAGGGTGTGTGCGCTCACCAGAAAGACAGAGAGAGACAGAAAGACAGAAAGCAAGAAATCACCCCCTGGCGGGGATGGCCACACCGCAATCCCTTCTCCATTCTCCTCTCAGGATCTTGGGCATGCACACATATGCATCTGGTGTGAGTGTAAGCCACCGGGTCTGGGACTTGAACCGCAGTCAACTACATGGGAGTCCAGTGCCATAGTCATTATACCAACTGCTGGTCTTCCCTGTAGCAATTTTTAGAAAAATGAATTTTAAAAAAAGGTGAGTAGGGGATGAGTAGAAGTTGAATGGGCGAGAGAAAGAAATGAATGCTGCTTGGTGGCCCGGGGACGAGAAAGAAAATTCAGGAGCTCAAAGTATCTTTGAAGTTGAGGTCAGAAGAGCAGAGACAAAAAACGAGCTGGAAATCTAACCAGATCTTCATGTATGGCAGAATGCATGAGGACTATGCTCCAACCAGCTCTTCTCTACAAAAGCACATCTTCATTTTTTTTTTTTAATACTTGTTTCTGCTTCAAAGAATTAAAAGATAAAAGAAGAGAGCAGATGTATGATCGTTGCTAATTCTTGATTCAAAAAGAGCACATTGTACCAAAAACAACAACTCCAAGATACAAGAAGGAAGGCGCACTCAACCACACTCAGAATAATTAATTTGAAGTAAAACCCGAGAGCGCAGCATTGAATAGAAACTTCTAGACATGTCTGGGAAATCCCAATGAAAGCATGAATGGGAGTAAGCCAAGAAGAGAAGGGTTTTGATTTACACTGTCTCACGCATTAGAGAGAGAGGCCGACGGAAGAGCCCGCCTTACTGTATTTATTCTGGACAAACGACTGAACATTGGATTCTCTGCAAGCGTTCATGTGCAGCATCTGTGTTATTTTTCACCTTTTGGTCAGGTGGGGAAATGCTTTGTTTCTTGATGCCAAAAAAACCCTATCAGTGGCCAATAAATTATCGTGGCTCTGTTAAAAAAGAAAAAAAAAAACTGTGATAAAATGTAGAAAGCAGGCCCGAGCCTCGTATTTCTGCCTTTCTCCCATCTGCAATTGCAGTGGAGTCTTTAAACAATTACGCAGCTTATTGAGTAACAGATTTTATAAAGACATAGAAAATTCACTCATATGGAACGTTTTATGTTCTCCTTTAGGAATGATGTCATTGGAATATGAAAATAGAAGAGCATTTTCCATATTCCTGACCTCCTCCTCTTCCGCTGCTATCTCCACCTCTTGGTCAATGTCACCATCAACCTTGTCAGCATGACCATAACAACAATCGTTAGACAAGAAAATGAGTCATCAGAGAATTCTCAAGAAAAGGTGGGTTTAGCGAACTTGGAAGAATCTTCTTCCAATCAATGGCACACACTGTCAACCCTACGGATCCAGCAGACTCTCAGCTCTGAACTGAACGCAAAGCACTCTAAAACTGCAAGAATGGGAAAGAGCGTAAACAACGAGTGTAAACAACTAAAATGAAAGAAATCTATCTGGTCTTTACTGTTTTCTATCCAACCACAAAAAGCAAGTAAGTTAAAAAAAAAAAAAAAAAAAAAAAAGACGAACTCTGAGAACCAACTCAGAAAAGCAGAGGTGCAAGTTCCCAATAAATGAACACCCTATAGCAGAAATCTCTCAATGAATGAATGAATGAATGAATCCATCAATCGAAGAAACAGTCTTTCACAATGCCCACAGCCCACATTGAGCAGACGTGCTGGAAATGATGTTTACGGGACTGGGCGGAGCCAGCCCCAGCTCAGTGAGGGAGCAGCCTGCTTCTTCCCAGGGAGGCCTGCTTTTTTTAAAACCTTTTCAAGAGTTGTTCCTCTGTAGCAGGGGGAACTGAGTCAGCA